AGTAGTAAGCATAAGAAAGGTGGAGTAGCTAGATTAACATCTGATAAAACAAACTTCCAAGCAAAAATATTACCAGACATGAAGAGGAGCACATCATAATGATAAAAGGGTAAAGTCATCAGAAAGACAAATCATAAACATGTAATACCTAACAGTAAAGCTTCAAAATACAGGAAGCAAAAATCTGACAGAAATAGAATGAAGTAGATAACTCCATAATCACAGTTGGAAATAGTTTAATACTTCATCTCAGCAACTCATAAAAGAAGTATACCATTAATTAACTTAATTAAAAATCCAGAAAGACATAGATAATCTAAACACCACCACCAACTAGCTTAACCTAACATAGAACATTACCCCAACAACTGCAGAATACAGATTCAAGTGTATTTACCAACAAAAACCATATGCTGAGCCACAAACAAGACACAATACATTTGAAGAGATTGAAATTATACCGAATATCTTCGCTGATCACAATTAAATTAGAAATCAAAACAATAAGGTATCTAAGAAACCTCCCTGATTCTAAAATTTGGCAAATTAAACAACACAATCGGAATAACTGATTTGCAGGAAAATACAGATGCTGGCGAGGATGTGGAGAAACGGGAACCCTCTTGCACTGTTGGTGGGAATGCAGACTGGTGCAGGCACTCTGGGAAACAGTGTGGAGGTTCCTCAGAAAATTAAAAATAGAACTACCCTATGACCCAGCAATAGCACTGCTAGGAATTTACCCAAGGGATACAGGAGTACTGATACATAGGGGCACTTGTACCCCAATGTTTATAGCAGCACTTTCAACAATAGCCAAATTATGGAAAGAGCCCAAATGTCCACCAATCGATAAATGGATAAAGATGTGGTTTATATATACAATGGAATACTACTTGGCAATGAGAAAGAATGAAATCCTGCCATTTGCAGCAACGTGGATGGAACTGGAAGGTATTATACTAATTGAAATAAATCAGAGAAAGATAGTATTTGATGTTTTCACTCATATGTGGAGCTTGAGAAACTTATCAGAAGACAAGGGGGGAAGGGAAGGAGAAAAAATAGTTATAAACAGAGAGGGAGAGAGGCAAACCATAAGAGACTCTTAAATACAGAGAAAAAACTGAGGGTGGATGGGGGTGGGGGAGAGGGGGAAATGGGTGATGGGAATGGAGGAGGGCACTTGGGATGACCACTGGGTGCTGTATGTAAGCCAATTTGACAATCAATTATATTTTTAAAAAAGGAATAACTGATTTGTCATAGAGGACATTCTAAGGAAAATTATAAAATACTTTTAACTGAAAAATGAAAAAAAAACATTAAAATTTCTGGGATGAAATTTACAGCTTTAAAATTCTTATAAAAATAAACAAATAAATAAAATTCTTACAGAAAAAAATGCTTATTAAGGGAAAAAAGAGGTAAAAATCTAAGACCTAGAGTTCCAATGTAAAAGCTTTAAAAAGAGCTAAGTAAGTACAGAAGAGGAAAAAAAATTGAAATCAATGAGACAGAAAACATAAATCATAGAATTAATGTTACTAAATGCAGTTAAAGACAAAAGTCAGTTCTTTGAAAAGATTAATAAAACTGATAAATGCCTACCAGGATTGATAAAAGGAGAAAACAAATTACCAGTATCAAGACTGAAAGAGGGGTTATCACTATAAAGCCTAGAAACATGAAAGGCATAAGAAAGTAACATGTACAACTGCACACCAAAATCTTTGATAACTTCCACGAAATGGATAAATTCCTTATGAATACTATTAACCTGACACAAAATGAAAATAAAATCTGAATATCCATATATACATTTATATCACATATATATGTTGAATATACATGTATGAAATATGTATGTATATACATACATACATATAGTTGAATATGTTATTAAAATCTTCCCACAAGAAAACTTCTAGCCCAGATGGTTGTGTAGGTGAATCTATCAAATATTTAAGGAAGAAGTAACACCAGTGCTTTCAGAAAACAGAGGAAGAGAGACTATTTCCTACTTCATTTTCTGAAACCAGATAACTCTAATACCAAACACAGCTATACATTAAAGAGGATAATATATTATGGCCAAGGACTATCCCAGGAATTCAAAGTTGGTTGAACATTTGAAAATCTAATAATAATTTACCATATTAACAGAATAAAGGTGAAAAATGTTATGATCATCACAGATGAAGAAAAAGAGTCATCTGGCATTTCTCAACATCCACTCGTGATAAAAACTCTAAGTAAAATAGGGAGAGAAGGAATTTCCTCAACCTGACAAAGGCAATTGATGAGAAATCTGCAGCTAACACTATACGTGATGAAATTTTTTTAAAAAGCAATATTACAAAAACCTTTACTAGAAATCTAGAAGACATAAAAAATATAGGAGACAATCTTTTTAACAAAAACTGTAAACCCAAATGTTACAGAAGACATATTTGAATATATAAAAATTTAAAACTTATGAATAAAAAATTATAAATAAAGCAAAAAAAGCAAGTCTAAATGTCCAATAAATTTATGAAAATGATGCTCAAGTTCACTAGTCAGAAAACACAAATGAAAATAACAATGAGTAACACTTTATAACCATCAGTCTATCAAAAATTAAGCAGAACTTACACCTGCAGACATTTAGGTACTCTCACACATTGTAGGTAGAAATATGATGAAACTATAGTCTTTTTTGGAAAACATTTTGGGAGTAACTATTAAATGTAAAATGCATATACCCTTTGATCCAGCAATCCTACATTTGAGAATCTGTCCCACATACAGCCATGGGGCGCCTAGGTGGCTCAATCAGTTAAGCGTCGGACTCTTGATTTTGGCCCCAGTCATGATCTTGTGGTTGCGAGTTTGAGCTCCGCGTAGAGCTTCGCTGGCAGTGTGGAGCCTGCTTGGGATTCTCTGTCTCCTGTCCCCCTCTCTCACTCTGCCCCTACCCTGTCTGTGCTCTCTCTCTCTCTCTCAAAAATAAATGAATAAGTTTAAAAAAAAAAAAAAAAAGACACACAGCCTCTGATCCAGCAATCATATTCTTGAGAATCATTTTCAGAGAAAAATTCTCACTACAAGAGGACATATATAATAGGATACTATTGTTAAAAATGTTTATGGTAGCAAAATAATGGAAACAAATACCATTGATAAGGCAATGATTGAATGAATTATGGTACAACCTATGTATAGCATTGTAACCAATGTATTTTAGGTTACACTAAATACGTTTCACTAGGTAGTCATCAGGAAGACTGACTTAGAGCTTTATCAGATGATCTGGAAGAGTATTTCCCTGAGATACTGTTGAGTGAGAAAAACAAGAGGCACAAAAGCAAGCATCCAAAAAACCACACAAAATTTTTAAACTTGCCCCAGAGCCTGTACCATACTGTAGAAGGTAAACACGTGGGGCTAACATAGGTTGGTTTTCAGGCAGCAAGAGAGGAGGAAAGCCTACGTGTGGGACACGTGCAGAGCTCAACCAAAAGAAAAAGAAAAAGCAAAAGCTTTAAAAAAATAGGTAAATAATTAGTTATGATCTAAACTCAAATAAAATGTGTATTTGTGTGAATGTACACAGAGAAAGTAAGTGAAAATTAAATTTATAAAATGTTCAAGACCATGATCGTTGAATGCCTTCCCACTTTCAGCTCGATCTGAGTTTGAGGTTTTGTGATTTAAGAAAAAAGTCCTGCAGTCTTTCTTCGCTTTCTTCAACTCATAATTAAATTTTAAATTAATAATAATTCTTATTATTCAGGAAAGTTATAGGATTCTGACAATGGTACTGACGGAAACCTCAGAAAATCTGTCTTAAAAATAAGGAATGAGAACAGATGTAGTATGTCGTTTGGCCATCTCCTTTTGTGTAGGTCACTGTGGAACTCCAGCCAAATTATCCCCCTCACAAGGAGGTAATTTATATTATAGATAGAGCATGAAATGAGAGAACAGTGAAGTTAAATTTAATGTTCAGCATTAAATGCTAATTTCTCAATGGAAATCTAAACTCTATACAGCTCTCCATTATAAAGAAATAATTAAAATAGATCACTTTTTTCAAATAAAGTTGTTACAGAATCATGATTCCAGAAAAATAAGTGTTCCCAACCTTCATTCTAAAGGGCCTGGCAGCAAGAACAAGAGTCAAATTTTCATGTAATTTCCAAGCTCCAACATTGAGAGGAATAATAAATTTCATTTGGAGAAAAACGTATGCAGTAAAAATTTCAGTCAGCATAAATTATTTCAATGCAAGTTAGATATACTGACATTACCCAATTTTTTTAATTTTAATTATATATCTTTGCATGATTTATAAAGTTATCTAAATTTTTTCTTTCATCTATTTCTAAGTGAAACCAGTGTTTTCTATCAGAATGGAACATACTGCAAAGAATGTTGAAGAGTTCACTTTGAACTTCAACAGTACAAACACCATAATAAGAATCCTAGGGTCAACATCATGAATTATTTTCTCCCTGATCATTCAATAATAGGAAGGCCTGGTTTTAAGGCACATTTGTGTTCCACTATGACTTAGAAGGTCAACAGGTGGTACACAAAAAATTAAAGAGGCAAAGCACTTTGAATCCATTACAACACGAAATGGAAAAGAATAAGCAAATAAAAGAAACATACAGGTAAGGAAGAGACATTTACACTTAGAGAAGCAAGCAGTAGAAACCGGAATACAGTTAAGGCAGATGAATTGTTCCAAAGTGAAGAACTTTCAAACAAAACAAAACAAAACAAAACAAAAAACCAAAGAATGTTTTAAAGAAATATATTTCTGCATATATGTAGAGAAAAACAAAACAAAAAACCAAAGAATGTTTTAAAGAAATATATTTCTGCATATATGTAGAGAAAAACAATTTAAGTCTTATAAAGTATGGGGAGGGCTGATCATTAGTAATTTCTAACACTAAGTTAATCTAATTCTTTCAGAACAGGAATAACCACATAAAAATAAAATTTACCTTTTCAGATTCACCATTGCCCAAGGAATCCCAGTAGGTGTGTTAAAGGCAGGAAGGAGTTTCTCAGCCAGCTGAACTGCTTTAATCTTGAATATCTGAGATCAAAACAACATAAAGGAACTTTTTATAAAAAAAATTATAGCCACCCATTCATAAATTAAAGCCATTGTCATTTGCTGATCTCTCACAGGTCACATACTACACAGAAGTACAAGGAGAAAAAAGGGCATCTCTTTGGTACCATGAAGCATACAGCAATCAGAGAAAACGTTTGTAAACTGGATACTGAGGAAAGCTGAGTATGTAATGGCCTGAAATTATAATTAACTGAAAGGGAAGGATGTGGTTTTAGTGTTAATATTATCTGTATTTTCAGCTGTCAAAAGTCTAAGAAATGTCAGGTTATGAAATGTCCATCCGATGGTATACAAGCTTAGCACAAATATTAAAACAAAGATTTGGATAAATGCCCTTGAATTACTGTAAGCATGTTTATGTCTCAACATTTTCCATCCACATCTATCCACATTATTAAAAAGAAAAGGTCTGAGTTCACATTCCAAGTCTGAGAGTTATAAATGCTTCAACTACTGCTATTTTGGGTATGAAACAATAAACTACACTAGTATCAGTGGTTTCCAAACTTTTAAAATCATGTACTACTACCAAGATATTCAGAGTAAACTTTCTAATATTCTTAGCATATCCAAATGGATATGCCTCTCTATCCCACCTTTGGAGACTGTTGACTTAAAGGCTCCAAAGTGAGACTGGGTCACAATAACCTAGTAGGAAAAAAGGCACATTCTCTTATATGCTTCAAGCCTATCTTCTCTCAAATTGATTTCAAACTCATCAGATATTTCAGCTTCCATCCGTCCACTGCAGTCAAATATTTTTGATAAAATATTATTCAACTCTTCAAATAAGGAGTTGAAGGTATGGAACAGATCAAAGTTATATGTTGAGGTTATATTAAACAAAGCATCCCAACATTACTGGGGGTAGAAGATATCAGAGAGAAAAATACACACAAGCTAACAAAGAAATATGATGTTAAGATGTTTTTGCAAGGTTCCTTAAATGAGGCAAAACTTCTTAGCAAAACTTGTAATTAGATATTCTCATACATCAACAATTTACCATTTCCTTGAATGCCTACTTTGACGTAAAAGTCTCAAGAAAAATGTAACAATTTAAGGTTAGTTTTTGTTTCTAGAGAGAGCATGTGCGTGTGAGTACATGAACTGGGGAGGAGCAGAGGGAGAGAGAGAATCTCGAGCAGGCTCCATGCCCAGTGCAGAGCCCCACACGAGGCTTGATCCCACGACTCTAGGATCATGACCTGAGCCAAAATCAGGAGTTGGACGCTCAACCGACTGAGCCACCCAGGCACCCCAAAGTTAAAGTTTTAACAATTTTCTCATATTCATCTCATATTCAGGAGAGCAAATGTAAACTGGTCCCCTTATGTTAACGTTTTTACCTTAATAAAGTCTAGTTACATTATATAGTGAACAGTACTACTTCTGTTTACCATGAGGACAAAGGGACGAAGCTCTTACCTAATGTTGTTTTTATATTACATCTTTCCTACATACAAAAATTAATGTTTGGGGTGCCTGGGTGGCTCAGTCAGTTGGGTGTCCGACTCTTGATTTCAGCTCAGGTCTATCTCACAGTCATGAGATAGAGCCCCACGTCAGGCACGGGGCCTGCTCAAGATTCTCTCTCTCCCTCTCTCTGCCCCTGCCTGCCCCGCTCACACTCTCTTTCTCACTCTTTCAAAACAAACAAAAAACTAATGTTCAAAATGGTAAAATGCTTACAAACATAAACTTTTCTAAACAGAAAGCATTCTCCTTTCCCTTCCAGAAGTAAACTTCCAAAAGATATTTTCTAATTTTCAACTAATTGGAGACATCAATAGCAGATAACATACATAGTAACCAGTTACAGTACACAGCCCCCCAAAACAACACCCCAAAATCACAGAGAAAAATTTCCTTATATAGTATGCTTATCTCAATATATTCACAAACATACAAACTCTTTAATGATAAATAAATTATAGCCCTACATTTCTCATTTTCACAAATATTTTGGTAGACAGCAGCAACAGCTAATTTAAAACATACTACTTTTCGGCAATGCAGGCAAGTAATACAAAATCCAAAAAGTGTCAAAGTAAAAAATAAGTCTCTTTTCCAGTCCGATTTCTCCACTACACAGTTCCTTCTACAATGCAGGCAGCTATCAGCTTCTTAAATGTCTAGTAAATACCTTGCACTAAATCGGTTCCATTGTATACATGGTTCCTAGCCTTGTCACATCAAATCCTCATTTTCTGACTTTCGCAGAAACAGAAATGCTATTAACAGTTTACACACACACACACACACACACACACACACACACACACACACAGAATCTTTGTCTTTGTCTCTCTCTGAAACATGGACTATCATGCACTCTATCCTGAACTTGCATCTTTCACTTTACTGAACCTTGGAGATCTTTCCAAATCAGTCCACAAAGGTCTACCATAACCTTCTCTTTAGTGGCTGCAGAATTTCTCCTTGTATGGATATACTGTAATTTGGTCAGTCCCCTATGTGACAGACATATGTTTCCAAACTATGTGACTAGGTAAGATAAATTCTCAAAGGGGAACCAAAGTATTGATGGGTATATTCGTTTGTAACTTTCATAGTTAATGCCAATTGTCTTCCACACACTTTGCTAATCCATATTCCATCAGTAGCCATTTCCCTGTATTCTTGTTAACACAAAAGTCATCAAAATTTTGATTGCTGCCAATCTCATACAGACAGCTCCCGATTTTACAATTGACAATGAACATCTTACAATTTATCAACTTTACAATGGTGTGAAAGTGATATGCGTTCAGGAGAAACCAACTATAAATTCTGATCTTTCCCAGGCTAGGGGTATGTGGTAGATACTCCCTTGTGATGCTGAGCATAGGCAGCAAACCGCAGGTCCCAGTCACCCGCGGGGAGGTGAGGGTGAACAACTGATATACTTTCAACCGATCTGACTACACAGCCATTCCGTCTTTTGCTTTCAGTACAACATTCAATAAATTAGAGAAACTACTCAATACTTCATTATAAAAAACTTTATTATAAGGTACATTATGATTTTGCACAACTGTAGGCTAATGCAGGTGTTCTGAACACATTTAAATGCATTTCCAATTTACAGTATTTTCAGTTTTTGATGGGTTTACCAGGACATGACCCCACCGTAAACCAAGGTAGATATGTAGTTGAAAAAGGAGACTCCATTACCATTTTTATTTTCATTTCTTTTATTATCAATGTGATAGATACTCAACACTCATCCAAATCTCCTTTCAAGCACACCTTCAAATACTGCAAAGGGTAGAAAACTACATAATGGCATCAACATTGCCAAGCATCCTTAAATACGCAATATTTGGAAGGAAGAAGTAAGTGATCTGAGGCAGTGGCCTTGCAAGCACAGTGGTGAAGGTATCTGGTTCTTCTGGTGGCTCTAAAAGAAGTTTGAATGACTGGTCTCTGTCTTCATAGGGACCCTGTGAGTAATCAAGGCAATGGAATTGGTGCTCAATTAGATACACAGTATGTTTGGGCATTTCTCCTGGCTGCATGGTTCCAAGCTGTATTATAACAAAAATACCTGATGTCATGGCCCTCCCAAAGATTCTGTTAACGAGTCAGTACCCTGTAATAAATCACTAGGTAAAACAGATTCTGTTTTCTGCTATTATGATTCTTGATGGATACAATCATGAGTGCACATCAATTATTTCACATGTTTAAGAGGCTCAACAATATTAAGACTTCTACAACATTTCATTTATTTACAGAAAAACTTTTATGCGCCCAATGTGCATTATGTGAAATCCCCCAGTTATTTTTACCAGAACAAATGGTGGGCAATGGGACAATGCTAATAGTTCCTAAGAAGACTTAGGACCAGAAGAATTATTCCTGGGTATGGAAGAACTGGAAGAAATGGGGTTAAACAGATAGAATGTGGCAAGATTACAAACAACCTTAAAACAGAAACAATGAAACTTAAAGTAACACAACTGATAACACAGAACCACTGTAGATTATTGAGAAGGGAGGTGATATTAAATGCATGGGTACTTTTAATTGTTTTTCTTTACTGAATTAAATTAGTAACAGAATATTCTTCTAGCCTGTTTTCAACCTAGCAGAGTGAGAATACAGAAGTGAAGAGTTTAGAATGCCCAAATGACTCCCTAGGCCATTCAGGGTAAAAGTCCTTTAAGAGGCTCTAAATCTTTATAAGCAATGAATCTCTATGACTTCTGTGCCTCACTCTCTCCTTCCTTTCTCTTCCAGCAACCTACTTCAGCCCCACTAACCTTTTTTGTTGTTCTCTGAGAATGCCAGTTATGCTTTTGCTTCGCTGTCTCTCCCTTTGCTATCCCTTTCTAATAAATGCTCTTATATAAAAAGATGTTCTCATGGCTCTCTCTTATCTCCTTCAGGTCTCTATACAAATGCTACTTCTGCACACACTCCCTGACACACATCCAATTTGAAATTAAAACCCCTTCATCCTCTTCCATGCTCTGTTTTTCCCCTTACTGCTTACCAGTAACAGTGCATGTATGTGTAGGTCTACGTGTGCAAACACACACATGCTCTCACATACCTACCCTGTTCATTCCTGTTACCCCCACAAGTAGAATGTAAACCATAGATGGGCAGAAGCAGTTTTATTCACTGTTTTATTCTCAGAACTTAAAAGAGTGCCGAGGCTATAACCAGTACTCAACAAGTGTTGAATGAATCAATTTAGGAAGCCAAAAAGCACAGAGATTTATAATAAGCAAGTAAACTATCTTCTTTCTCTTCCACACCAACCCAAATCCCCGAAATATCTGAGGCTAACATGCCAAGGTTTTAAGAGCTTAAGATCTTCTACAGAAATGTTGAGATGATGACAATGATGATAATGACAAACACAGATTAAACCCAATCAATTCTCACAACACCCCAGTGAGATAAATACTGTTACTCCCATTTTACAGGTTAGGAAACTGAGGTTT